TTCAATTAGAATAATCTGGGTGAGTCTTTTTGAGCTTTAATTGAGGATATTATTTTAAGTGTTAACGTTTTTAGGATAATGATTGTGTCTTTGTGATATCTTTTAGTGATTTTAATTAATTTTTGTATGATGATGTGATCATTTTTAGCTTGTTTAAATGTGTTGTATGTCATAAAATCGCCTTTTGCGTCACATAGCCCTAATTAGTTAAACAACAATTTTTTTAATTTTTTTAAATTTTTTAATTTTTTATTTTTGATGTCAATGTCCTTTTTTCTTGTTAAACTTGTGTTGTTTCGTTTTTTGCAGCCCTGATGATGATGCTAACCAGCATCGAAACGTTGGCTATTTGATTTTTAAATTTAATAAATAAGTCCAAGAAAGCTGAATATTATTTCCATTCCTCATAACCATATTCGTGGACGTGATACTTTTCCTTCAGTTCTATAGTTTATGTTTGCTTTCTGATCAATCTTAAATTCTAACAGTTGTAGAGATTGCTTAGTTGTTTCTTTGATGTCATCCAGCTGCTGTTTCAGTTGGAGTACTTCGGAGTCGAGTCTAGAGATATCATCTTTTTTCGCTGCATCTTCCAGGTTTTGTTTTATTTGTTGTTTTAAATCTTGATTGATTTTCTCTAGTTCTGACCTCTTCCTTTATTGCCACAGTAGCAAAACCATCCGATCCTTAGTTTACGAAATACAGTAAAATAAACAAAAAAAAGCCCTGTTTTTGCACTAAATATTGTTTATAAAATGCCCTAAAAGTAATTAGATGTTGCATTTTTGGTTTTTAGCATCTATAAATGATCCTTAACAATATTGCATCGATAGTTTGCTGTTAAATTTTATGTTAAAATATGGCTGTTATTTTGCTAAGTGCCTTCGCCTATAATACTAAAATAAAGGTCGCCGTTTTGAACACTCGAAGTGCAAGTAGTGCATTTACCAAATCGAAAACTTTTTACTTAGTGTACCTGCTTTCAAAGGGTATCTTAAATAATGTTTTTTGAATAAATTAACATCACTCCTTCTCCCATTTGCGCATCACAGAGGCCAAACTATCCTGGTTGACCTGTAGTAAATAGTACTATACATACACTAGTAGAAAAACATTTTTAGTTGATTGGCCTACTAATATTTCTTGGATAAATTGAATGATGATGACAGAGGATGGACAGCGCAAATTGGGACCAGCAGCTAGACTATGATCTTAAAAGTTGATGTTGGAGTTCTTCCAAACTCTTCAGATTTGTGGGTTCATAAAAAATAGCACCTCATGGACATGGTTATTTTGGTTATTTGAATAATCTAATTAAGCTCTCAAGTATTTCAGTTATGTTAAAACAAAAATTGCTGCAACACTTGTTTTACAAACATTTGATTTATAATTCTCAAATTTTCTACCAAAAGATAAGACATATTGAACATGCCTGCATACTGCACATTAGGGATGTACTGGAATTCCGGCGGTACCATTAAATCCGGCCGATCCGGCCTATAGCCCGGAACTACCGTTCCGGCCGGCCGGAATTTTCGAAAATTTTAAAATGAGTTAAATAATAAATTTATAAGCGGAAAGCAAGAAGAATACTTAGAACTTTATTAAAATTAAAGTTGTAAACCATAACAATATTTTTTTAAACATAAACATTAAATTCAGGTATGGAATTCAAAAAACTTCCATACTTTTGACATTTTTAACTTAGCTGGATACACAGGAACACAAAACAACTGCAACTACACTGGCCTGAAAATCGTTAAGTTTTACGTGCACAAGTGTTTGAGTCAGATGTCTGTGTGGTCCCTATTCTAGAGACAGGGGATAAACGTTCTCATGAGAACGAAGGTTCTGTCTTCGTCACCCATATCCATATTTCCATAACACTAACAAAGACAGAGCAATCGTTCTCATGAGAACGCTATTCCCCGGTTTTGAAAATAGACAGGTAGTCGATTCTCGAATTTGGTAGAAGTGAACGTTCCCATAAGAGAAGTGAGAGATCACATCGCACGCTCGTTCTCTTGGTGCCAAAGTTGGTATTCTCGAACGTATAGGATTATGATAGAATGAGAGAAAACTTGTCAAATCATAATGCGTTGTTGCCAACAGTAATATGTAGAATTAGCCACAATTTTAGTGCGTTAAAAGGACGAATGTCATGAGAAAGAAGAAAATCAGTTTATTTATTTGTGTTTTGGGACGTAACCAACCTCATTATTTGCTTATTTATTAGAAATTTAATGATAAAGTTCAAAGTGGAAGGCTAAAGGCTACGGTCGACATTACGGACAGTAATTTTGTCATTTTTTCCGTAAAGATTCAATAAAACCATAATATTTTATCAGTTGTTTGCCTTCTATAATAGGTGTCCACTAACCTATTTGAAGCACCAATAATTATTAAAATACATTTGTAAGCTAGGAAATTAACAAAGAAAAGGTTTTTCACGTTTTTGGTGAATTTACGCTTCCAAGGATCTTCTTTGAAGGTGCTTTTGAAAAGAGGTTTTTCACGTTTTCGATGGATTTACGTTTTCGAGGATCTTCACTTTGAGATTTGGTGAGCGGAGCGAGCAGTTCTAGACTTAAAAATGTTTTAAATTTCAAGAACTGGTTATTTGAAAATGGTTTTTCGCGTTTTTGGTTGATTTACGTTTTCGAGGATATTCTCTTTGAGATTTGGCGAGCGGAGCGAGCAATCGAGAACTCAAAATTAAAATAAATTTTGATGTGTTATATTTTAAAACGTTTTTCAGGTTGTTGGTGATTTCACGCGTTTCCGAGGATCTTCTCTTTGAGATTCGGCGAGCGAAGCGAGCATTTGATTGGAGACACAAAAATAATTTAAATTTTATAAGGTGTTATTTAAAAAAGATGTTCACATCAAACAAAAAAATACCATGGATGATGACTGTAGAATTGACAAAAAGCGCATGTTTGACGTTTGGTTCTCCCGAGAACAGACGTTCTCTTCAAAAAAAGTAGTAGAATAAAATTCTCTCAACTTTCATAGGAAGTGAACGGTCCCTAATTTCGAGAATACGTCGTAATAGATTTTAATGGAAACCACGCGTACTTTTCCTATGAGAACAGGGATCACACGATTCGAGAATCGCCGTCCTGATAGACTCGGGGATTCGCCAATCTACGAATCTACTTGAAGGAGCAGCCAAACTCAAACATAACCAAACTTCAGCCGCTTTCTTTTTTTCCATCGAGCTATTCTCCATTATAGGTCTGTTCCCACAGGAATCTCTGACAGGTTGCAAACTGTCAGAGACTCCTGTGGGAACAGACCTTAAGAGTAAGTCATCTTGATTTCCTATGTACTAGAAAGAGATAGACTGCTCATCTGTAGGTTGGCCGGTAAAAAAAGAATGCGCTCTTTCAAATTATTATTAAATTGCAGAAAACTGTCGATCTGGCCGGAATTCCGGCGGTCCGGTCCGGTTAGGAGCCGGAATTCCCGTTCCGGCCGGATCGGCCAAATACCCGATCCGGTACATCCCTACTGCACATGCTATACCTGAAATTAATTAAACAGTGTATGCACGTGATCAAAATTAATGACATAAGCACGTCGTAATGTTGCCGCTATTAACTTTCGTTCTACTTTGACATACCATGCACATACCATGTCTAGTAAAATTTGTTATCACTAAAGCAAACAAACATCGATTTTTATATGTATAGATAGTGTATTATGTGTATTATGAACACAATCTAAAAAAACGACTCACTTTTCGTCGTAAATTTGATTGTGAATAGAGCTAACATCAAGGTGATCCTTGATTCGTAACCCGCTTCTTACGAGGACGTTTTTTTTTTGGTGAATTTAACGCTAAATTATCCCTAACTTTTTGAGAGATTTTACATTGGATTTTACTCGCAGTGGTTATACCAATATTCAGTGCAGCTGCAACACGCTTGAAAAATATTCCCAATTAAAGCCCCAGAAGATTTATATTTGATAGTATCAATATACTTCACCTCTCTAACACTATTTAATGGCAAAAAGGGGACCCCATTATCTCGTTCCTGTTCAAAGAAACTAATTAGAGATGCAACGAGTTTCTGACTCTGACTATTCAATGACTTTGGCATTTTATAGATACACACACAGAACATATCACCTATAGAAAAATATCTCAAATGGAAGAATCGCGACAAAGGTTTTTAGTTAGGTTTTCATTCAACGATGGCGACACTGTCGGGAGATAAGAGAAATTTACAGGTATCTGTGGTGTGGACAGTGATTTGTGTTGGTTGGTTTTGTCATTTATTTTGTCATTTTAAAAGTCAAAATTGGAATTTTTAAATTGTGTTGTTGTACCCCACGGTTTCCACGCGCGTTAAAGTGAAAATTCAAAAAGTTTTGGTTGAAAAAAAACCTAATTTTTGTTCGTATTTTTTTGTATTTATTCGTTTGTTTCGTTTCGTTCGTATTTGTATTTATTATTCGTATTTACTTTGCGATCTATCTATAACTGCGTGTCTCTTGCTAACTTACTAACTCTTTTTGCACTATGTTCGACATCGGAAACTTCCTGCCAGTCATAGTTTTTAAAAAAATGAGGTGAAAAGAGCTAAGAAGAGTCAGCAAGCCAAATGCAGTTGAACATTAAAAATTATACAAAAATAATAAAAATATATGAAAAAAATCAATTCGCCTTTTTGTCAAGAATACTCGATTAGTTGGGTTTTCAGTCAACGAGGGCGCCGTGGATACACAAATAGAAATAATTTCAAATTATTAAAATCAGTAACCGCAGATTTGCAGCAATATTTGGCAACATAACCCATGAGTGCCAACCTAAATGTCATTTTATTGGCCGATTCGTTTAAATGCCAACAGCCAAAAAAAAAAAAAAAAATCTTACAAACTGCAATTGGCAATAATTTCGACGTCATTGATCACGTGCATACACTATTTAAATAATTTCACTATAGTACCTATTAGTGCACCTTGAAAATATTTATAAATAAACAATTCCTCACCTTCTTTGTCACATTTTTCCAATTCCAAATCTTTGATATAGGCTCTAAGTTGTCCAATTTCCTTGTTTCTGTCATCTAATTGTATCAGTAACTCTATGAAAAAAATAGTAACTTAAAAATCTGATCAACATGTATTTGTCTGCATCTTTTTAAAGCATGTAATCACACAAAATCAATCACTCAAATTGTTCCCAGAACGAATAAATAAAAAAATAAAATAAAAACGTGCCAAAAATTAAACTACAAATCCTACCAACCTTCCTCAGAAGACTTATCAAGCTTTGAATTTTTAACTTTCTCGATAATCTGCTCAAGTTTGATTTGCCTATCATCTAATTGATTTAGCATCCCTGTAACATATGAAGCACCTTTTAAAAATGCTATGCTATAACCATCAGAAGGTGAAAACCAAATATCAAACAGAAGTACGAACATAAATCAAAAACTTGCAGCATTGGAAGCAACTCTAGATTCAGCACCCATTGCAACGAAAAATTGAAAATCGGTATAAATTACCCTGTACGGATTCTCTCAATTGTCCACTCAATTCCTTTAATTCCTCAATAACAATAGAATCATCTTTTGGATGTTTGTTTCCAACAACAAATGGCGATTCATCTTTCTCCTCTGCTTCTTCTATGGTGCCTTGGTAATGTCTATCTTGAGCAATTATTCCTTAAATAAATCATTAGTATTAGATATAATAATTTTTTATTTGAGCTTAGCTTTTCAGCTAGGTACCTCTTTGTGCCAAATAACCAATCAATGAATCGTGAGTTTCAAAGTTTCGGAATATTTTTGCTTCTAGATTATCAACTGTTTCTTTTGTTGAATTTTTTGATAAAGTTATTCCTCTGTACTTGGTTTCTTCTTTGGTTCTTTCTAAGTATGATTTTTTCAATTGTAATAGTCTTATTTGCCTGAAAAAAAAAAACAATGATGCTATTGAAATCAAGGCTAACAATTCACCTCTCATTCCATTCTTTCTGCAACTGTATAGACTCCAAGGCTTGCTTATTGTCCCCCAACTGTAAGCATTTTTTGTACAATTCTACAGCTTCCACGTGACACTGAATGCATTCATCCATCTTTTTCTGGCGACTTAGTGTTTCTGCTTTTCGTTCAAGCTGATGAGCCTGCAATTTGGATAAAGACACAATAAAAATTGAAAAGTACTACTTTATTCAAATAATTATTAATATACTTCTACAGGGTATGTATCTAGTTCTAGTACTGCTTCTGCTTACCCTGTTTAAAGGAGCTTTGTCCATATCCATTTTGATTTGAACACTACACACACACTACTACTGAACTGCACTACTAGTCTGTGGATTTTTAGGTATATGCTTGACAAAGGGGTGACTCTTTAATTTTTAATTTGATTAAAAATGAGAAATTTTTATTTTACAAGCAGAATATTTGGGATATCAAATAGAAATACATTCTTTTGGTAAAAATAAAATCTAATCATTAATCTCAATTTTTTTTGTTGATGTTTTTTTTAGTTATTATTCTGTCAAATGTCACTGGTGGTAAATGAGTAGAGTAGAGAGACTGGGCTTTTCCAAGGATAATACACACTACTACTACGGGATAGCATATCCTCATAAAGCCTGTGTAGAATAAATCTGAAGCTCCCACCATTAGTTGTATTCCTTTCAAGAGTTTGAAACACTCGAGCTCCTCGCTTCGGTGCTCAGTCGCCCCCGATTTGCAGGGAACAGATGCGTGGTGCAACAAACACTTTTCGAAAGGCGTGAAGCCCCGGAGCTGTTCCGGAGCTCCTCCTAGGTGTGAAAGGAATACAACTATTGCTCCCACCACGCCAAATCGCCGGTTATGACGTTGGCAGCATGTCGTTTCTCGCCTTGACGTTGGCTGTTTGCAGCACCATAGAGTCCACAGGTTATGATTCCGATTAACATTCATTAAAACGATATTTTTCATTATAAATTTAAATTCTAAGCTAGGACCGCTGGCGCAAACAGCCGACGACAGTTAATGACGTCGGCAAAGCTGATACACCAATATGGCGTTGTTTTCAATTTTTTATGATGGGATGTCCATTTAAATCCTATATACCGCGTGTGGCTAAATTCAGCTGGTGAAGGCACTGTGATGGAATGGTAGAAAAAGCAGTCTTCTGAAATTAAACAGTGTTTGGGAAGTTGTGGTTTGGCATTGGCATTAGTGAATTTGAATCATCGCATCCGTGGCAGTGCAACATTTTGATGAATTAAGCAACACGCGGATATTCATATTCAAAAGTATCAAGAGGTTGGGCACAAAATGGCAGTAATCAAGGTAACCTTGGTTTCCACCAACTATTTTAGGGGAGCCTTAACGATAAGTATTCCCTAAAATGACATTTTTACATGAAGAAATGTCAGTTTAGGGAATACTTATCGTTAAGGCTTCCCTAAAATAGTCGGTGGTTAGTTCAAGATTGTTTCAAGAGAGGTAGGTAAACTTCAAAGGATAATACACATTACTACTACAGGATAGGTTATCCTCATAAGGCCTGTCAAGATCAAATCTCAAGCCCCCCACCACTTCAAATCACCAGTTATGACGTTGGCAGCATGTCGTTTCTCGCCTCGACGTAGAGTGTTTGCACCATAGGTTATGATTCCGCGAGCTTTTGCTTTATGCCAAGGTTCCTAAAGTTAACAGGTTGCCTGGTAATGGGCTTGAGGCGCATCTGGGGTGCTTTATGGAAATTTGCATGAATGTTGAGGCACCCCAGATGACGTCATATTGTTATCAGGCAACCTACCTCTCTCAAATAACCTTGGCTTTAGGAAATTTTTGCGAGGATAATCAAGCATACTCGAGTATGCCGGATTATGTGATGTGTCAATTGTAACATACTCCCCCACCATCAAATTCTGGGAAACTCGAGGATCAAGAACACCTAATTTCTTCTGTGAGAACAGACCGAAAATCACCTTTTCTACATTTAAAAGCGACGAAAAAATTAGCTCACTGAACAGAGCCTGCTGAATCGTAACCATTCCATTGAGGTCTGCGGGTGACGTCATCATTATAGGCTTCTGACAGTGACGTCACTCGCAGGCCCAGAATTTGATGAGGAGGGAGTTAGGAAGAGTATGACACAATTGATACATCACATAACTCAGTATACTCGAGTATGCTTGATTATCCTCACGAAAAATTGCCTCTCATGCATACTTGGTTTTACTACAATTACTACATTACAAACATTCTAAAACCTAGTATATTTAAATTTGACAAGTCTAAATAAATTCGACCAAAAGAAAAAAAAAAACGCAATTCGCGGTTATTAGTACTTAAAGCCTAGTACTCATAACAGCGAAATTCGCTCTTTTTCGACATTGCTTCGACAATTTGACGTTTTATGCGTGAATCAAACGTCAAACTGTCGAAGAAATGTCAAAAAAGAGCGAATTTCGCGATTATGAGTACTAGGCTACAGACTTTAGCTTCATTCTCAGTGGCGCGAAATTTGCTCTTTTTTTCACATTGCTTAGACAATTTGACGTTTTATGCGTGTATTAAACGTCAAATTGTCGATGTAATGTCAAAAAAAGAGCGAATTTTGCGCAACTGAGAAGGAAGTTTAAAACAACAATTTTTTAGATCTCGTTTGCATCTTCCTATTTGCCTATTATGTTAATCAAAATTAAATAATATTTTTCATCATAAATTTACTCTCTAAACTACGACCGCGGGCGCGTAGTTAATGACGTCGACAATGGTGACACACCAATATGGCAGCGATTACCAAAAACGAGGCCGATAAGCAATCGTTAGTAGGTGTATTATCCTTGGGTTGGCTCAACTCTTATGACGTCATCTGGGGTGCTGCAACATAATGCAAATCTCCATAAGGCATCCCTCCCAACAGGGCCGGATTTTACACTCTTGCAACTCGTGCGCCGCACTAGGGCGGCAGCCCGAGAAGGCGGCATATTCTATCTAGGTATATAAGTATTTTTTTATACAGATTTAAAAAAAAATAGAGACAAATACCTTTAAACTATATTGCACGAACAGGCGGCTAGTTATGTTGGGGCGCGAGCTACTTGCCAAGTGGTAGGAGCACCCCTGAAAAGTAGTACGAGCGCCCTTGGCCAATCACCTGCTAGCGATAAACAACAAACGGACCACCCACGGATAGGGCTCCGTCAAGTTAGCCCCCCCACATTCGAATTTTCTAACAAAATGTCAACTACTTACTGTGCCCGAAGTGTGTTTTTTAATGTGCCCTGTGCCGATGATAATTTGAACAGCAGGATGGCCTATCCTCATAAGGCCTGTGTGTAACAAATCCCCCTTACCCCCCCCCCCCCACGCCAAAAGTCAAAAATTTAGTAACCATAGCCGCTTTCAGCTGTGTGCTTCAAGCACGGTGCAGCATAAGCCGCTTTCCAGCTGACGCTTTTGAGCACTCAATCGAGCTTTTGCGCGCGCAAATGCTATAAGCGCGTGTTCGTGTTCCAGCCGTACTGCGCTTCGAGAGCTGCTAACTTTTGCGTTTCAAACACAGAACACTGTGCTGCACCGTGTTTGAAGCACACAGCTGGAAAGCGGCTATAGTGTTCTGTGTTTGAAACGCAAAAGTTAGCAGCTCTCGAAGCGCTGTACGGCTGGAACACGAACACGCGCTTGAAGCATTTGCGAGCGCAAAAGCTCGATTGCGTGCTCAGAAGCGTCAGCTGGAAAGCGGCTTATGTTGGTAACACCAATCTACATAAAAAAAATTGACAATTTTACGTATGACGACTTAAGGCCGGGACACACCTATCATGCATCTTTCCGATCCGACTCCGATCATACAATCGGACGAGTGTCTAACAGGGGAATTGTACTACATTTTAAACAACGTAGTTCACACCTTTCCGGCACGTGCTCATCCCTGCTCCCACCCGACTCCGATCCTGCATCCGATCATGGTCCGATCGAACAATCTTTTCGTTTTCCAGCTGCGGGACCACGTGTCTGACGTGTCGCTTGGTTTTTTGCGGTGTCTTGCTAAAATTGGAAAAAAACTACCGCTATGAGGGAAAAGTGTGGAAAACTCTCTTTCTGCAGATCTTCTTTTCCAAGCAGCATGTGCCCAAAATCTGCGTTTTCTGCTGTTCTCCAAGGTTGGCGGCCACTACGAGCGAAACGAAACTAAGCTGTGCTAGACGAAGCTAATGGCTACTAAACTAAACTAAGTTTGAGCGGCCACTGGGAACGATTGTCGTTGAGTTCTCAGCTATGTTTTCATGCGAAAGGAATCCTATAAATTTATTTAAAAGGTTAAAATAAGTCCTGTTGCAACAAAAATGGATCTGTATTCGGATTTATCATCTGTAGAATCATAGTTTTTGGAAAATATTGTTAGTGTAGTATTGTTTTTAAATGAGCATTGTTTTGAGTTGTGTCGTATAATACAATCTTTTTTCGAACACATTCTATTTACATTATTAACGATTCACTCTGTGATATTTGGCAGGACATCATAAAATCATGTATGTACACACACATAGCGGAAAGTAAATAAATAATAAATTCGTAGCGAAAAACTTCGTTCGAATCTGACACGAGCTAAATCTAACGAAACGAAACTAAGATTTTAATCTCGTTGACAAATCTTCGCTTAGTTCAGCTAGAATAGCCGAGGGTATATTTAAAAGTATGGTAACTAATTTACTGAAAACTTATCCTCGCTTAGCCTAGTTTCGTTTCGCTCGCAGTGGCCGCCCGCCTTAAAGATCTCCGACTTTATCTATATATAATTATCGGTTTATAACGTTCTACGTCTTCCGATTCCCGATCTCCAACCATCTCTGTCAATCCAGGCATCCTCTTCTAAGCCTCTGTCTCTCATTTCTTCGTCTACTCCACTTCTCCAGCTCCTTCTCGGTCTGCCGCGTTTTCTTCTTCCCCCTGTAGTCTAGGAAAATTGTCGATTTTCAAAACAAAAAATCCTACCCAAAAGAACTTTTCAGGGATCATAGGGGGAGGGTGGGTGATCATAAAACTGCAAATATCAAACATTCGCCCCTCTGGCGTTTTGCGCTATAGGGGTTGAAAGTGCGCCATTGGCGATTACTTGGTATCTATTGATTTTACAAAAAAATGTTTCAAATAAAAGATGTGCAACATTATTTGTTTGTTTGTTTACAATGTTTATCTAAAGACTTTTTTCTACAACCGTCAAAAAATGATGATGTTCGCACACTCATGACAGTTTGCGAAGTGACACTTTTTTTCCCAGGTATTGATTTTTTAACGTTCCCATGACGCCGTGCGCGAACTAGCTATTTCGCGCACGTGTGCGCGAAATAGCTAGTTCGCACACTGGGTGTCATGGTGACACATACCTGTCAGGAAAACAAAAATAATTAAAATTCACCTACTTTTATTTGAAAATGCAATTTTAGCTTCGAATGATCGATATTTAAATGGAGTTGTAGAAAAAATATTGTTTGCAACTCGGGCGCGAAATACTTTGGTGATCTCGACTATTTTTTTTAACTCGGCTACGCCTCGTTAAAAAAATCAGATCTCGATCACCAAAGTAGCATTTCGCGCCCTTGATACAAAAATACCTATTTTGATTAAGGGCCATCTGTGGTCATAGGGGCCGTTTGAAATTTTATAATGAAAATGAAAAATTTTAACCAACGTGAAAAAATTTTCTACAACACATACAACATTTTTGCTTTATGAAGTTTTTACTCACCCCCTGCCGTTTTTCAATA